TCTTGATGTGCTTTGTCCTTTTATAAAGTTAAATAAAGTAAGGTATTCATTTATAAATATATATATGCAAAATAATATACTACAAAGATTTTATCAATTGCGATTGTAATATTTCCTTATTTTAGTCGAGATATTGATAATAATATGTTAATTTAGTTACTTGGATAATTCTGATCAAACTTTTATCTTAAATAAATGCTGCTATAATGTTGCACATACCTATTGTGACATACATTTAAGGAATATGCGATGTACATAGTTTAATATTAATCAATATATTATAAGTTGAGATATTTTGAAAAATATTTATATAAACCAAAAGTAAGATATGTTAGCAATAAATTTATATTAATATAATGTTTTGATAAAAACAAAGTAATGTTTACAATTTTCACAACATAAATAATCTATTTTAAATTAGAAAACACATCTTTTGGCTAATAATATAAAATATATCTTCCGCAATTTTCACATTTTTCGATTATATTACGCATACAACGGTACGCTTCGTTTATTTAACTAGTAAATTCAATTGTCTTGGAATAAGTATACATACTTGTATTTCTGGGAAATTTGCTAACATGAAGACAACGAAGATACAGATAATAGTGATTGTGTCACTGCCCTACGTAAATACAAATTTATTTTAACATTTACTTATTATTATGAGTATATTTATATCATTGCACTTACCGTCAATAATATTGTTGATACGTTATCGCGAATCTCCTCTTGCGTGAAATTTTCTTTACGGCATGCATCCATGTAGATATCAAGAAATGTTCTATCTGTATTATAGAACAAAATTATATGTGTAATTTTTTCAAAAAATTTATTATATAATATTGTGTTGGCAAATTTAAATTTAAATTTAAACTATATATTTTTTATATAAAAATTAGAAATAAATATAGAAGGAAACTGTTCAAAATACTGTTTCTTAGAAGTAAATCGTGTGCAGTATTTTAATGTGAGTGTTTTCCAATTAGTGATACATAGTCGACATAAACATCATTCTATCCTTTTTAGCATTTAATGAGAAACATAAAGAAAACAAACTTATCGACTTGTTCCATTAAGTAGAAAACACCTAATATTTTTATGATTATAGCTATAATAATTTATTTTGTTGACGTTTTCATAAAGATCGATTTTTACATAAAATGATGATAAACTTACGAGTTTGCTTCTCTTCAGCCTTAGTTGTATCCAGTTGTATTAATTTATCTTTGCTTTTCTGTATCATCTGTATAATAATAAATTATATACTAAACGTTATATAATATAATACAAAATATTTAAAAAAACATACCTTATCTACGGAGATGTGGAACACATTTAGCAGCTTTTTTTGTTCGCGTCCCGTAGCAGAGAGATTGAACACAGTATCAAAAAAATATATATGTATATTTCTTAATCTATATATAAGAATTTGTTTTCCCCTGAAACACAATTTATTTAGAATCGAAATTTCTACACATAAGATTATTTATTAGTTACATAAGATATTATATAATTAATTTTTTGAATAAATTACATATATAATTTCGTTCTGTGATATAGATAGAACATTTTTTGATATCTACATGGATGCATGCTGTGAAGAAAATTTCACGCAAGAGGAGATTCGCATTAAGATATGATTATAAAAATCTTTATTAAACTTTTTAAATAGAATTAATTGTAAAAAAGATGTTTTCGTTATAATGCATTAATTAATTTATTTATACAATTTTTTCATTTTAAATGTATAAACAAATTTATTAAAGATACTGTTTCTATGTCACACTGTAATTTATAATTATTTATCTATTTATAACAACAATTTAACTTTAAATGTATTGATAAATTTTACAAAAGTTTTCTTACAATAATTTATTAGAAATATAAGTATAAAAATTTTATTCTTAAATAGATTTATCTACATATTGATAATTACATGATTTACATCGCGATCGCAAGTAATTAGAATTAGGAGGGAAATTATACCTCTTTAATTGTTTAAGAAGTAGATGGATTTTATTTGATTCCTGGGCATTATGTTTGATTCCCATTAGAGCATCTTAACATAACATATAAAAAAATTTTATTATTCAAAATATTTACGTGCAGTCGACGAAATATTAAATTTTACGTTATTTTTTAATAATACAATTTTAAATATAAAAGAAATATCTCGTTATATCATGTATGCAAAGATTATTAATGGCAACTTAAGTATTAACATATTTTTAAAATTTATTATTGATTTTATTAAAATATCTCATGGAAGTCAATTTCATAAAAAGTATAAATTGGATTCTTTATACTATAATATAATTGTAAAAAGTCTTTTAGTAATCTTATCTTTAGCTAGATTAGTAACATATATAAAAGGTTTAATCGATAAAATAAAAATGTTATGTTAATGTACATATACATATATATACACATGTATCCAACTCTCGCTAATGATTGACGAAAAGAGATGTTTTGCGGAATTACTTACAAGGAAACCTTGCGAAGTTCTAAATTCTGATCTTAACGAAACTTTTCACACATGTAGATTACATAAATAGATAAATTTAAAAAATAACAGTTGCTATCCAAAAACGGTTTAAAAAAAAACAAAAAAGAGTGAAACAATCTCTTAATGTGTAAAGCGTATTTAGTTTTTTGTTATATTTCAAAAATTATTCAAAATATCAAAAAATGTTTTATACAACAATTTTTTACAGTAAAATCACCTCTTTTCACACACGGCAATCATTAAAAAAAATTTACTTTCGAAAATTTTCAAAAATGTTATTGACGTAAATGAATACATACAATTTTGTCGTAAAACTTTTGTATAAAACATTTTTTAATATTTCGAATAGTTTTCAAGATATAACGAAAAATAATTGAAAAATCACTTTAATATAAAAGAAAGTGATTTCAAAACCATTTTTCTGCCGCAACTGATATTTTCTAAATTCATCTCTTTACGTTATCTATATACTTATATGTAAAGTTTTATTAAATTCAGAACTTGACACTTGTTATAAAATTAATTATGCATTTACACATTTCGATCGAATATTGTTTTATTTTTTTCCGTGACAAAACGCTATCATTTCCACGCTACCTTGCGATAGATAGCTTGGTGCGTTTTTATGTGAAAACCACTTTTACATAAAGGGTATAGTTTCATTCCTTAAAACCATTTTTGGACAGCAACTGTTATTTTCTAAATTCATCTATTTAAGTAACCTACATGTATTGCAAGGTTCCCTTGTTAGAGCCGACAACAATTTCGGTCAAGAAAGACCATTGCGGAGCATGCACTATCACACGTTTTGTTAGATCTCGGGATATCTGACCCCGCGCTTTTCGGCTAGTTCTATCCGAGAGTAAATCCCATTGAGTTTCTATCAAGACATTGCATCAGACAGAATAAAGAGATAATTCGCGAAAACACTGAATTTAAGATACTTTTCGATCCCCATTGGAATCTTCCAGTTTTTCCAAATCAATATAATTTTGATTTTCGTTAATGATCGCGCATACGTCAAAAGTTCATGAAAAATCAGAAAACGCGTAAACATTTACAAATATATTCAATTATATAATCTTACCACATGCAATTCTTAAAGTACAAGTTGCTATATGATCTTCGTAGAGAATTTCGTTTTCATTTAACCCAACTTTTTCTAATTCATCTGTAAGCGCTACAGATTGTTCAA